GATGAGCCCTATTAATTGGCGACCCGAACAGAGCGCCACTGACCCCAGCACTGATTTGGCAGACTGGGCACACCAGTCGTGCAGCCATCGCACGGCCGCGATGATCACAACAGTGCTGCCACGCTGCTGCGCCGCCACATCGCCGCACCACCACGCGGCCACCCCGCTACGCTGCCACACTGCCACGCTGCCACGCTGCCACGCTGCCACACTGCCACGCTGCCACGCTGCCACACTGCCACGCTGCTGCGCTGGCACACTGCCACTTGACGCTGTCGCTGGCCCCGCCACAGTGCCAGCTGGTCATTACACAAAACCATATTGACTAAAACTACAATCAAATGCAGTAAACAAAGTTATGCCTCGGCCGAAGGCCCCGTCACGGTGGCGCCAGGACCCTTTATCAGGCTTGGGACTTGTGTTCCCATTTTCTATAGTGCGCACAGCAAGTTGGGGGGTGGCATTATATTGTACGGCTCGAGCATCTGTGTGCTTGCGTTAATTGGAGCCAGTTGCTATAGGACCCTGAGCCGAGGCGACCTGGAGCTGTACCTTACGCAGCGTGCATTTGTAACAACTGTTGAACAAGCCCAAAATCCCGTTGTGAAGCTTGTGGAAGGACTGCCGGATCTTCTGATATTATCTGCTGCTGGCTTTCGAGTCCTAGAAACTGATGTTGTTTGTTGCGAACCTTGCCGGCGTCAGTGAGCTGTGCTGAATAGTCACCCCAGTGTCCAGTGTCGTACACACAGTTGAACCAGCACCGAACGGTTGATCATATTTTACAATTACATTCCCTGTGAATTCCCCAGGGCCTGTATAATAGAATCCTGGAAAACCAATGTTGGATATATCATGATCCAAGCTGGGAAAGTCCCCAAGTCCTTAAAGTTCTAAGCAAATAAATTAAGTTCCAAACCCCTGTCAAAAAATTGTGTCATCGGAGTGTCTCCCAGCTCCTGTAAAGGCTGACATACAAGAAAGGACACAGGAAACTCAGAGGCAGTCATTGTCTCGGAATTAGGCTGGCCAGCTGCGAAAGAGCTGGAAAGAGGTGTCGGCAAAGGTTGTTGACAATTGAGTTCTGCAAATTGCACTCAGAATCAGTAAGAAACTGGATGCTGATGATGTGCACACCGTCAGCACGGGATGATATCGCTGGCCAGTGCCAATAGTCCTGAAAACGGTATAGAGGACTGGGTAGGTGTGTCCGTGAACACCAATCAACTGGTTCAACTTTGGAAGGCTGTTGGCGGTGCCCTGCTGACATTAATTTGCGTCAACCTTTTCGCCTGCGGTCCAGCCTTGGCAGCGAGAGCAGCAAGGCTTATTCGAAAAGTGTATGGAATAGTTTGGGGTGCCTTGTGTATGCTAATGGACGGTGAATCGCTGCAGCAGGCCGATTCGGCTCGCGAGATAGCCCGAGCAAAGGGGCAATTGAGTTTACTTTGGAATTCTGAGCGCATAAGGCGTAGCCAGATCAGGCAGGAAAGAAACGTTGAACCCATCACGATGCAGCCCGTGACGGGCGTGTTCGCTGGCTCAGCTAGTAGTCCCAACCATTTTCAGTTGTTCTGTGCTTCTGTTGCAGGATTAGTGGCCGGTTGTTGTGTGTCACTAGGATCCCGTTGCTTGGGGATGTGGGTCGGGCATGTACTCCATCGTAAACACACGTGTCCTCGACTCACCAGCTGTGTTTGGCAGCCATACAAAATGGATATTCGACGCTGCGACTCCACTTGTTCCACGACTGCCGCAGCAGAAAGGAGCGTGCGTCCAGAAATTGCACAAGGAAATCCACGGAATGAACAGCGCTGGCATGTACACAGAATTGCTGCACTGATTGCTGGAGGAATTCAGAACTGGTACATGTGCATGGGACATGAGGTGCAAAAAATACCCAAATGCTGGGAAAACACTACTGAATTTCCTGGAGAGCATGCAGAATTCCTTGCAATGAGAGAGCAAACTGGGATGATAAGACCATCAACAAGGGTCCGTCAACAGATGCGAGGGTTAAGCCAAGTCTGTACGCCGATGGCCATAGGGGCATTCCATGGGATGATCATTCCGTGGGATGGCGCGTTTCGAAAAGACGGGAAATTTCTGGTACAGATGAGGTCTCTCAAATAGATGGAGGGACATTTTGCTTCTGGCTGAGGAAGCCTCAATGTTGTGAGGCTTGATGCACATTCCAATGCTGCCTGAATATCGTTGCATAAGCCGTGGTTCTGTGTTTCTCTGCATTGTATCGAAAGCAGGCGCCATACTTGCTTTATCACCCGCGCCAAATAACAAGACCACGGTCACCACGCACGTCGGCCAAGGATTTTCATCAAACCAACGACAGCAGCATTGTTCAATGTGCATCCGCCAATTCAGATTTTCACGAGCATTTGTGTTGAATTAACGGATATCTTCGAATTCGCTAACAATTTTCATGAACGCCAAAATGATATAATTGCTGTGCCTATAGCATGACTGTGCAGTTGTCCATGGCTATTGTTCATTATTAGTGTCCGATTTCGCCGCAGTAGTATTGGGACACAAGGCGGCGTGAAACTTCCGACGTGAAGAATTTTAAAAGTTGCGATACAACTGACGACATCACACTGCAGTATACAGCTGTATATTGATGCGGGATCCTGAACCTAGGCAATTAAATGCCTTCTGTACGTTCGTTTATCGATGGCATCTCAACATAAACGAAACGCCGCATTGACAACATGTTTTTTTTGTTTGAAATTTTGTTGTCCTGCACAAGTGTACTTTCTACAGAGCCAGATGTGCAGTCCTTGCTTACACCACGACTCGACTTCACAAACATGCAAAAATTGTGACTTTAATGCACTCTTGCAGTTTCAAAAGTACGGCACTGCCGTTACGTTGCGTAGTATACTGCGCACACGGTTTGCTGAATTCTGGAAGCGCTGTCACATTGCACAGCGTTCGCTAAGCACTGACTGCAGAATATACCGATGCATGACAGAATATTCACGGAAGTACTGCTGTGCACTTCGCTGAGTTCTGAAAGGACTGTCCATTTGTTCGTTGCTGCACAATTCGATTAAGTTTGTTGTCAGCCTTGTTGCAATTCGCCGAAACCTCAGAACATTCCGCAGTCGCGAGTTCTTAGAAATATCTCCATGAAATTCGGCTACCAGATGCTTGGCACATATCTTTGCTCATGAGTTCACCGGATCTGACAACGACGCGCTCCGTGCACGCAAGATCCGCCAATGAGTCACCAGGTCGGCGTCCAGCAATCTGTCTGTGCGTTTGATGTGAACAGTCACGTTCCTTACAGGCTACCCCCTTGGGCCGATTCGCCTATGACCGCAGAGGCCACGAGGCGTGTTTCCGTGGTATTCCTGTGGCATAAACCCTGTTTACTTGGCGCTGGCTTGCTAAGGCCCTCGCTATATCGGCCCTGGTTCTATGAGTTCATGATTCGCTGACAAGGGCGCGCGCGAGAGTTCGATGGCTGCTCAAGGGTGAGTCAGTGGGCGCTGCATCCGGGCCTGGCCGTAGGGCAGCGCCAGGCTGTGGGGGCAGTGAACTTGGGGCCTTGAGCCTGAGGAAGCCTGCACTCAGCTCCCGTGGCTCCGGGTGTGAGCTGCGTGTGGCAGCGGCGTCTTTTGGGAAACGGGAGGAGCCACACTGCACTTCGTTTTCACTCCCACCCACCACCTGTGGTAGGAATGTTATCATGGGAAATTTGATATGTTTCTCGGCCTTTGCTTTCTGGGAGCGACGAGGCAAAACTCAGTTTGGGGTGAATGCACTCAAGATGATGATGAAATTGCTGATAAGATTCTGTTACTCCGTAATACTTGGTGTCTGCCACCGAAGGCTATGTCTCCAACCAACCGCACAAGAACACTATGTCCGTTGCTTGTCCCAGTGTTCGTCTCACTCAAGTACCGACTATCCGCCTCCACATTGAGGCATACAAATCATCCTAGAATAGCATCCACTCCTCTGCATCTCACCCCAACCATCCTGCTCGCCTCACCACCCCCAAATGTACACCCCATACCCGAAGTACATATCATCGTATATAGTATACCATCATAGTATACCATCATACCAGAAGCTTGAACCCACTCACAACCACGGTGGTGTAAAGCACCCAAGATGAACATGCACTTGTGGCATGTTGACCTTCGCTGCAGGTGCGGACATGGTTTCCATTCCTGTCGCGGTGCGAGCGAGGAGCTGAATAGGTGGCTGTTGTCGCATTTTCATGCTGCACACCAGGCTCGAGATCGCGCGCTTGAAAGGCGCTCTCCCCAGACCTTGGCATCGACGCTGAGCGGCATCCCAAGGTCGCTGACTCGTTTTCCACTCTCCACCCAGGATCAATCAGCGCGGGGCGGGATGGGCAGGACGCCAGCCCGCACCTGGACCCACGCAACAACAACCTCGTTGCCACGCCCGTGGCCCGACACACCATTCCTCCAGCCACACTCCCACCTCCCAGCCCCATCACCCCAGCGGCCCCCGCCTCGTCACCGTAAGGTCGACCCCCCAAAGGGTCCCTGATCCGTCGATTCGCGTCGCAGCCAGTGCGACAGGCCAGCGGGGGCGCTGGCCCGCACATGTTGAGTGAACTCGCATGTTGGGCGCCCACCGAGCCGCGGCAATCTCTGGGGCCCTCGGACGGCCAGCGCCCGCGGCGGTCTCCTGGCGTCGCAGGGCGCCGCGGACCGGCCGGGCAAGGGCCCCCGATCCCCGCCCGCCGCCCGGCCCCAACTGGCAACCCTGCAAAAGCCCAGTCCTGAATTGGCCCCAGCCTCTGGGAGCCGCCAGGTTGGGAGAATTACGACACACTCGTCTTGCATCTGAGATCGGGACGGTGAATTGGATTGTGAGCCCTGTGGGGGAGATCGGTGGGTTCGCGGTGACGTCGGGCGCTTGCGGAGGGTTTGCTGTATTGAGAGGGGCTGGCCGACGTGCAGGGGGTGAGCTAGTTTGGCGGGCGCGTTTTTGGGGCGGACATGAGGTGGGTGGGGGCCAGGCCGGAGGGCCCCGGCGGGTCGCCATCGTCGGGGAGCAGCAGCGAGGGGGATGGCGGCGGCAGCGGGAGCTCGGGGGCGGATCGCAGGGGCGGGGATTCGGGCAGGGATGAAGGGGGGATGGGCACGCGCGCCGGGCAGGGGCGCTCCGCCGGCGCGAAGGCGGGCTTGAGCCAGTCCACGCTGGCGGGCTCCCGGGAGACCAAAAAGGCTGCGGTGGAGGGTGATGGACAGGGCACCGGGCGCGGGCAGGTTGCTTCCGGGGCGTACGACGTCGAGAAGTGGGTGGCGGGGTCCGCGCCGCTGTTCGTCGATGGGGGGGATGACTGTACCCGTCAGGAGGGCGGGGCGGGGGGCGGAGGGTCAACGGGGGCGCCTCAGGAGGGCCGAGGGGACGGATCGCCGCCATCGCGGTCCAGGCCGGGCTCCGGCGGCTCGAATGCATCCAGGGAGTCGCGCGGAGTGGTCAATCTGGGCGACCTGAGGGGGATGCGCGACTTGGCCGATTTGCGCAACTTCGCGCGGCGCAACGAGGAGGCCGCGCGGGGGGGCACCCCCCCCCGGGTGGCGGTCTTCAAGGATGACTCCCGGCTGCCGCTGTCCGGGCGCGGGGAGGACCCATGGGCGGGGTGCACGAGCAGGAGGCAGTCGCGCAGCGCCGGGGACGAGTACGAGTTGGAGGAGGGCGAATGGCGCGGCCAGGGCCCGACGAATACGCAAAATCCTCGGTTTGTGGGGATGGGCATCCGAGGTGGGCTGCCCGTGGGGCACAGGCCCGCCGGCCTGCCCTACCCCGCGGTGCTGGTCAGCTCCTGCGGGGCGCACATCAACACCGTGCCCGTGCAGCAGGGCCCCGTGGCGTGGGTGCCCATGATGGGCAGCGCGGACTGGCACGCCAACAGATGGATGCAGGGGGGGCCTGGTTGCGTGGGCAGGGGCGCGTACCCGGCGGCGGGCATGTTTCTTGAGCCCGGCGAGGGCCCGGTGAACGGGTACTTCGCCCAGAGTGTCGCTCCCAACGTTGGGAGCGCGGATTCCATGCTCCCCCGCCACCTGAGGCCGCTGGCGGTGGGCCCCAGGGACCGCTACTGCCACGAGGCGGCGATGATGCGCCAGGCGGTGCAACTGCAGGGATTTCAAGAGGCGCGGATGGCGCAACAGGCCCAGCAGAAGGCCCAGCAGCAGCCCCAGCAGCAGCTCCACCAGAGGGGGCTGCCCAAGTCGAAGAGCATGCCGCAGGAGAGGGGCTGGGCGAGGGGCAACCAAGGCCAGTTGCAGGAGCAAGGCGCCCATTGCGGACATGGGAAACGGGTAGGTTGATGGCCGATGACAGGCTGACACAGCAATATTTCTTCTGACGTTCCTTGGCATCTTTTGTTTCGAGCATGGCCACTGGAGGGTATGGTGTGGGAGTTGTCTGCTGCAGATCTAAAGAGTAAAGGTCTTTGTACAAGTAGGTGGAGTGTTTCGTGTTCGTTGAAGGCACAAACTTGGGTGGCAGCATTCATCAAAGTACGAAGTACTGCTGCTCTTTCTAGCATTGGGCAATGTAGGGGTTCCACAGGGGTGCACACAGATTTGCCTGGATAGCGGCAGCTGTACTTGCTCCATCTGTCTCAGTCTCAGCAGGGTGCACCGCAACACCCATATAGACCTGTTGGCTGTTGGCCCAATGCATCCGGCCTATCAGGATGTAGCAGGCTGACCTGCTCGCAACCCCCTTGTGTCTGCCTTGTGCACTCGTCCTGGGACCTAGACTGTGCTGGCCATGCTTGTCAAAAGCCACTGGTTGTGTCTGTCATTAGCTGACCAAGTGTTATCTAATAAACTGCCGTGTGGGGCGGTTCGTCCAGCACCGAAGTACAAAGGCATGGAGCCAAAATTTTTGGGTATAGCGCTGTTTTCACAGACTTCGTCGTTGATGTACTCTTGTTTGCTTGTTGAAAGTGTCGAGCAAGGTTTGATGTTTGATCTGTGTGTCCTCCAGGCTCGTCACCAATCTGAAGCTGCACTCCACTATGAGGCTGACAATGCTGTGTACTCTCCTGGTCGTGAGCCTTCTGGTAGCAGCGCCAGCACACATACCACATCCGCAAGTTGTGGGAAGGCCAGGGAGGGACGTGGGCCATCCCAAAGGTGTGTCATTGTTGGTAGTCTTAATTTTCAAGAACACTCTGCATTGGATTGGGATGCAACTTGGCTTCATCCAAAGGACCAGAGTCAAGGAGTTGCCACAGCTCTGTTGATCAGATTGCCACTTCATCGTGTATCTTGCTGGCAGTGCCTCCCAAACCCAGGATTCAGGGGCCAGGTGCCTTACCAGAAGCATCACATGCTGACATGCAGTGGCTCATTGCAGTGATCCTTGAGTGCTCCTTGATCCGCTACAAGTGATGTTATCAATGGTCAAGTCATAGTAGACCAAACGCACGACAATCTAAGCTCTGAGCACTGGCATGGCTAAAGCTAATAACGTCACTCCAAAAAGGCGTTCGTGTTCTGTTCCACCCATCATTCCTTCCCCCTTGCTCATCCTCAAACCCTTGCACTTCCTCAGTCCCTTGCAGTGCATGGGCCCCTTTGATCGGCTGAGCACGCTCCACAGGAAAGCCAAGGACGAGGGACCGAAGCCTGCGCACCCTGTCAAGCCCGTCCCACTCACACTGTGGGCGATCATCCTGCACTACATCTCCCTGCTCTTCTCTGACTACCCGGCCAAGGCACATCGGCGCTGGCTGCGCGACCGCACGCCAGGTGGCTCATCCCCGCCTGCTGCCTCCAAGCTCCCGGCCATCGGTGGCAAGGCCACCATCTACGATGACGAGTTCTCAGACAGCGACTTCAGTGAGGACGATGATGAGCCCATCTACAACGCAGGTCGGCGGATCGCAATCGGAAGCTATACCCCAGAAGGGGAAAATAGCACATCAAGGATGCCACCCTCTCGGGGCCTGGCCCCCCTGAAGAGGGTGTCCAGGAAGCGTAATGGGGTAGCGGCAGAGCAGGCTGGAAGGTCATTGCATGAAGCAGAGCTAGGCTTTGGGGCCAAGAGGCCCTCTCCGGATGTTAGCGAGATGGCACGGCCACCGAGGGCTGAGGCGGAAAGGCGGGGCAAGGGGCGTCCAGAGGGGGGTGGGATGGCGAAACGAAGCCAGGGCAAGGGCACCTTTAAGCTGGGGCGGTGCGCGTGGGGGCCGAGAGAAGGTGACTGGGAGGCGGGCGTGCTGAAAGCGGCAGGGAAGGGTGCGAGGGCAGGGTCGCTGACCGCATGGGGCCGTGCAAACAGGGTGAGTAAATTGCTCGGCGTCCATTTGCCTACCTGTGTTCGCACATTTTCTGCTGTTCAGGCTGCCATAGGTTTTGGCTTGGGATGCATCCAAGGGCCCTCGTGTCAGGAAAAGTTGTCCCTGTTGGGACGTCTCTTGTCTACCCGTGCTCCCGTGGCAACGCCCTGTTGCTGTTTCTTTTGGTCAGCGGCCAGTCGCCTGCGTTTCTGTGTCAGTGTTCGGGCAATCGCGACACTGACCTGTTGCTCGTCCTGCTGCCTGTTTTACCATGTCATGGTGTGTTCTTGGTCTTGAGCACCAGAATTTTTTGCCACCGGCATGGAAGCAAGCGATTCAACGAACAGAGTACACATGTTGCTGACCTGCTTCCTGTTCCAACGACGTCCTCCATATCAGTGTTGAATGGTAAATCGTAGTCTCATGGGTGGTGTGTCCATCTGGCCTCGAAGAGCGACCAACAAGCAAGCCTGTAGTTCCAGAAGACGGCAGTGCCAGCACACTGTTCAATCTTTGCCTGTTGCTGGCCTCCCGCTGTGGTGCGGCAACTTTTGACGTCTTTGACGACTGCGGCGCAGATTCGCTTGCGCCGGCGTCGCAGCCGGCTTGCCCGCCTGTGGGACGAGCTCCGCCACCCGCTCGCCACCCTGCGCCGCAAGTACCGAAGGTCCGCGCACAAGACGCGGCTGATGGCAGCCATCGACAAGCGGTCCTCAGGCACCTTCTCGGGCATCTGGGACCGCATCATCAACGAGGTCTTCCTGTGGTCTCAGTGGGCGTTCGAGTTCGCCTCCCCCACGCGCGTGGGCCGCCGCCGCCTCTACTTCACGATCATCTTCCCCTTCGTGCTGCTCATGGCGTTCTCGTTCATGGCCGGGGAGTACCCGCTGTACTTGGAGCGCAAGGGAGAGCCGGTGGCCGCGGATTACGACTTCGGGCCCTACCAGCTGTTCCGCTGGGTCTTCCACCGTGAGGCTTGGCGCAACTTCGACTCCGTCTTCCTGGTGGAGTGGGGGGCTCGCTTCATACCCCGGCTGCCCGGCCACCCCACTCGCTGGCTCCAGTCCCTCCTCATCCACGAAAACTTCTCCCACCTGGCCACCAACATGATGCTGTTTGTGATCCTGTCGTGGAGCCTGGAGGGGAAGTACGGCTTCGTGAGGACCGCCGCCGTGTGCCTGACCTCCGGGCTCGCGGGCAACTTCCTCAGCGCGGCGGGGGAGGACCCCTGCGCCCTGGTGGTGGGCGCCTCCGGCTGTGTGTTCGGCCTGGCGGGTTTTTTCGTGGTGGACGCCGTGTTCGACTTCCGCCACGTGATGTTCCCCTTCCTCCGCCTGCTGGGCTTCCTGGTGTTCCTGGTGGCCTTTGCCGCGTCGCTGGCCACGCAGAGCGAGACCTCCCACCTGTCCCACGTGGGGGGTTTCCTCACGGGCTGTGGGCTGAGTCTCGCGCTGCTGCGGCGGTTCTTCGACGAGCGGCTGGAGGCGACCATGCCCTGGATTGCCCTCACCACCCTGGCAATAATGTTCATCCCCTTCCCGGTTGTTGTGTACCAGGACATCCTGCCCGACATCAGCTGCGACCTGGGGACGTGAGTGGGCGCGGGTCCCTGCCTGGTGGACTGTAGCGGTTTGCCGATATGGCGTTGGCGTGGCGGTGTATTGATGGCAGTCGGCTGAATTAGAATGCTGAAGAATGGACTCGAAATCGATTTGGGGTGGCCCTGGCTGGTGCGTGCGGGCAGGACAAGAGGTGGGTGGCACGCAGCCAGGGCGGGCAGGAACCCTGTGGCAGATGTGTGGTCGTTGCAAGAAAAACGACGCACCTATGTCCTGTCTCAAGAGATCATGTTGTCGGGTAGGTTGTGATTCGTGCTGAGTTGTCACGCGCGAAAACGATGCACTCATTTTTTTGGGAGAAATCTGTTAGTTAGGTACCTGTAGAGAGCGGCGTTTCGTGTTGGAGGTGCCACGTTAACAACGCCGTCCACGCACTGAGCCCTGAACAAGTTGGAGCGACTATGAAGCCGAGTGAGCACAGGAAGGAGGCAGGACACACTTCGGTTCGTGTTGTGTTGTGTTCCACAGTGTTCAGCCCTTTGTACGCGAATGACGAACGACGTAGGTAATTGGGGAATTTGTTTTCCGGGGCCGGGTGCCTTGCCCTGCGGATGGGACGCTGAGAAAAGACGCCTGCTGGCAGGCGCCTTCCGCTTGTACAATACTGTTGCGCGTCCCAGCGGGGGAGGGTGGGCCCCGAGCGGGTGGCCCGCGATATTTGCCACGCACCCCCTGAGGACGGTGGCAGCGTGGGTCGCCCTTACAGGCTGTGTGGGAATAAATTGACAGTGAGGGGCGAAAGGCCATTGACAGAAGGCCCTTGGCTGTCAGTTGGTTGGGCATTCGGTGGCTGAGGCGCGGAAGGGAGGGATTACCATGCATGGGCGAATCGAGGTGTGAACGGTTGGACATTGGAGTTGTCGGACTTGCTGAGACGCCTCCTTCTGTTGTACACCCAGGTCCCCCGTTTCCCGAGGAATGGACAGAAACCCTCGCACTGTCCAGAGATATGCCGTGTGGGGCCATCGTGCAAGTGCCGCAGCAATTGGTGGCTAGCTGGCTGCCTCCGCAGGGAGCTGCGACGAACTGCCTCCGCGTTTGGCTCCCCGGGCCACGGGGTTGTGCTGTGGCTGGCCTGAGAACACAATGGGTTAGCCCATTTGCATGGAACATACTTTGACGGGCGGAGCAAACGTTCACTCTACCCGTCAATGGACGTCACATGCCAGTCGCCCACGGTGCTGGTGCACAGCACGAACGCGGTGGACACAATTGTCGCTGTGCCAAAACAAGGCGAATAGTTCAGCCTTGCTTGTTTGGCAAATGTTGTGCTCCGCCGCACACCTGTCCTGTGTCTGTGCATCTCCCATGTTCATGCAATGATACTCGCATCTTCATGCGCCTGATACGATGCCCAACTCTCAGTCCCATGGTCCCAGAGATGTTCCGCTGGCCTGGCCGTCATGGACGCTGACCTCGCATGATACCTCGCAAAGGGCCAAGTTGTCCTGTGTAGAGGCCAGTCGTTAATGTGGCCCAACAGCTTGTCCCTTCGCCCACATATTCCATACCCATGCAGATGCACGGATCGAGGACACCGTGTATGTACAGGTGGCAAAATGATGTGGAATCGGGGACGCCCAGCTCTTGCCGCCAAGCGGCCAAACGGCCCGTTCCTAGCTCCTGTGGTCTCGCATGTCGGTATGCCATCTAAAGTGTCATGGTGTGATCAGGAGTGAAAGTGCGATGGGACCATCACCATCCAGCGTCCAGCTGTCTCAGCCCCTCGCCGATGCTCATCATTGAAACATGGTGGCAATCAGGATTCTGAATGCCAGGGATACTGGGCGTTGCAAAGTGACGCATAGTGAAGAACCCACCAGTGGCTGGCAGAGATCCAGAAAATGGAAAGTAGACTGCACCGCATGCTATTTCATGGCCATTTAGTCTGTTACATTCCGTTGTGTTGTGCTGAACCATTTTCTTTTGTGCTAACCGCTTGTTGAGCACATTGGTAACGATTTCTGGGGACCTTTTTCCTCTCTGTGATCAGTCGCCATGTGTAAACTGCTGCGCATTCACATGTATCTGTCGTAGCCCACTGAAATCTGGCAGGACGGAATGCACCTGTAGCAGTAAGGGAAGGAGCAGTCCTGAGCTGTTGATCGAAGGCGAGCAACCCATGCAACTCGCATGTACCATTTCGACATTGTCCGAGTTACCACAAAATGAGTTGTAATGAACAGCCATCTTTGCCTTTATGGTGCTCGTTTATACGGAGGGTATAATACCCTGAGCCTAAGGTGTTAAACAAGGCTACAGACAAGTTCTATTGGTGCGGGACGAAACCTGTCTGGCTTGCCATGGTGGCCTTAGGTTAAAGTCCCGGTCCGAGCGGTTCTTCGGTCAGGTT